TGTGGACTACAGCCCATCCGAAGAAGTGGGCTGTAGTCCACAAAAGTTTATGCTCTAATAAATTTGTTAGTCTCTAAGGTGCCACAAGTACTCCTGTTCTTTTTGCAGATACAGACTAACACGACTGCTACTCTGAAACCTGTTAAAACATAGTGGCCAGGCCTATATCAACTAAGATCACATGAGCTGAAACACCAGCTGCTGGCTCTAGGCTTACTGAGCTGTACCACGCCGCCTGTAAATTCAGGTTCATAGTTCAAATAGGACCATCAGAGTTTGACAGTCTGGGACTCTACTCTGCACAAACATAGCCACTTTGGGAAGCCTATGTTATTACACAAACCCCAGGAGGAAAACAGTAGTAATACTTTGCACGTACATAGTGGTTTTCTTTTGAGGCTCTCAAAGTGCTGGAGCTACTATTAGCCTGTTTTACAGATAGGGAAACTGAGGCAAAGATGCATTCCCTTCTCTATAGATTAGGTTGCCATAAGCCCAGGCTCAGGTCCTTCCTTCCACTGGGTGCCAGGCAGTTTTTGATGCTAGTTTAAGGTCTTGGTCCTAATCTTCAAAGCAATTAATGGTTCAAGCTGTAGCTACATTAAAGACCCACTTTTGATCAATAACCAACACAACAGCTGTGATCCTCTAAGACATTGCAGCTCACAAAGCTGAGGATGAAGCAATCTTGGTAAAGGGGACCTGGCTATGGAACAAACTTCCAGAGGTGAATGCAGAGAATCTGACCATCTTTAGGAAATGCTGCAAAACCTTCCTCTTTGAAAAGGTCTCTCTACCTTAGAGTGACGTGACAGCATTGACACACTCCCTTCTATCCAAAACCCTCCCTGAAACTAATCAACTTAAAAACCCCAAAATAGAAGTAAAATAATGCATGCTTAAAAATAAAGCAAAACCAAAAACCCTACCCAAAGAAGTTTTCATTTCAAAAAGGGAGAAACTCCATGAAAACCACTACAGACTTTGCTATTGCTATTTATTTTTACATGGAAGGTACTCAGATATTACAGTGATGGGTAGCAGGATAAAACACTATGGTAGGCAGCTAAATAGAGAGGGGAAGTGACATGCCCAGTCACATCATGAGTAATATCAAAGCAGGGAATACAACCCATTTCTTCCCATTTCCAGTCACTGCTATACTTGTTAAATAACAGTGCCTTCCTCAAAATGCTTGTCCTCTTTACACTTTCATGCTAGAAGCTGGTTCTGTTACCATGACTTTCAGTGATATGGACTACAGGTGTTCATAGGAACAGGAGATATTTCCCAATCAGATTAGATAACCACAGGCCAGTTGGAAATTTGCATGTGAAGGACATGGGGCTACGCTCCCACAGAGATCATGGTGTTTGGCTGGCTGAGTTTTCTGGATATGGTTTGGGGTTGGAAAACAACGCACAAAGACAAGTGTGTGTGTGGTGGGGGGAAATCTGAGCTTTTACTGCTGCAGGAAGCACAATGAGATGCAGGGTAACAGAGCAGCTTGTCAGAAACCGAATCAGGCTTTGTCAGTGGAATTTTGCTTCATTGCCCTCTCAGAACTGTCATGCTGGGGGGAGTCGAGGAAAAGGAGAAAGCAAGGGACACAAAGGTTTTATGTCCGTACATTTCTGGGCTGGCTCCTCAGTTCTGCCTGTCTGTCTGTTCTTGGGTTCTCAGGGCCCTGCAGTGGCAGCAGCAGCCCCCTTGGCTCTCTGAGAAATAAGAAAAAAGTGGAGACAACATTATTATCCTTCACAATAGCTCCTATATACCATCTTGAAAAGTGGAGCTGGGCCTGCCCCACCTCAGAGGAGCCAAACAGCCCCACATCTGGGGTCTGTAAGGGGCCAGTGTCCTGCTCCAGCCTTTCTAGTGGGCTGAACCAGAACTCTGCATCTGAACAACATCCTGAATTCCTGAGGAGGTTAGATCTGGTTTGGATCCAAACTGTACTGATCTGTCCCAATGGCAAAGAGAGATCGATTTTCAAGCACTGCATGCCTGCCATGTACATTTGCCCTGGGCTGAGACATGTGAATGGACCCAAGATATAGGCAATAGCCTGGGACTGACCTGGGTACAATTACACTGTGCACAGATATAGGCAATGGCATGCATCCCTCCTACTGTGCTGCCCGTAGTGAAGAATTATACTTTCTGGAATCAATGGCAGCATTTCACCAAGAGCGTTCCTTCCTGCCAGCCCTAGTAAAGATCGCTTTGATATTATTTACTGTTATTGGGCTTTTACGTTAAGGCCTAAGACATCTCAAACTAGGCTCTCAAAAATCTCTTCTTTGTCCATACAGCACCCAGCTCACTGGGGCCCTGAATCCAACTAGGCACTCTGGGCACTATTATAATACAAATAATGAATAAGAATAATGAATTGATAGTCAATGAAAGACTAGTAAACAATAGCTCAAAATTTGGGATACAGTTCAAGGATGTGAACCAGCTAATAAGAACTTCATAGGCTGATCCCCTCCACAACATTTTGACATCTACCCTGCTCCAATCTCTCATCCACAAAGTCATATCACACGAATGGTCACCCAAAACACAAAGGATGGTTCAACATTGGTGATATTATCGAGATATCTGTCCCATTTCTGTGCATATGGTTAGTAACAAATAAGTAAAGTGCTTGGCTGTATTAAATATCAGTGGGAAAAGCGACTAGGAGGATGGTGGTTTCAATATATTTTAACGTTTGAGTTAAACAAATATAGAAAATCTCACAAAACATTTTCTGTAGCTGGAAAATAACTTATCAAGGAAACTGGAGATGTCACTAGTTACAGTGAGCTAAAATGTAAAAATATATTAGTATGTTAGCATTTTTTCAATGCATTTCTCTAACATATGTATATATTACTGTAGATCTTTTTGGTTATGTTTATTATATCTGTTTTGCTTATGATAGTGGCTGTGACACTGCACCCCATATTCTTCACAGTGATATTATTATGGCATAATTATGATGCATTTTATGCAAGATAAGTCATGTGAGATATCATTGGAAAGGTTATGATTTACTGAATATGATCATCCTATTTGTATGCATCTATCATTTTTGTATCTGAAATTAGGAATATTGACTATATATGGGGATTGGTCCTGCTTTGAGCAGGGGGTTGGACTAGATGACCTCCTGAGGTCCCTTCCAACTCTGACATTCTATGATTCTATTATTTGTATTACAAATGTGTTTACACCTGGGGAATGCCCACTAGGCAGAATGCACACAGTCTAGATGGCTGGCTGGGAACGGCCATTAGAGAAAACAATAGGCCTTAGAACAGTGGTTCTCAAACTTTTGTACTGGTGACCCCTTTCACATAGCAAGCCTCTGAGTGTGACCCCCCCTAATAAATTAAAAATACTTTCTAATATATTTAACACCATTATAAATGCTGGAGGCAGAGCGGGGTTTGGGGTGGAGGCTGACAGCTCGCGACCCCCCATGTAATAACCTCGTGACCCCCTGAGGGGTCCTGACCCCCAGTTTGAGAACCCCTGCCTTAGAAGAAGTTTATCTCCCACCAGGGGTGGGGGGGTGGCTTCCTGAGGACACTGCAAGCAGCCTCTGACTCCTGGCTGCTGTAACACTACAGGGTCATGTGACCAGGTCACCTGATACTGGACTCCCTATTGAAATACCAGTGTTTTTCCACTGACTGGCATGGGAACTAAGCTTTGAGACAAAGGGTTCCCGCCATTTGCAAAAATTATTTAAGGCAGGGGAGTGACATCATCATGGTTCTTCACTGACTCCCCGCCCAAAGAGACTCCTGGAAACACCTGAGAAACAAAGACTGAACTGGGGGGGAAGTGCTGAACCTAGGCTAGAGGGATTTTTAGTCTGTGAGAGGAACACCTGGGGTTTCTAAGCTGTAAGCAAGTGCAGCTGGCCCCTTAAGAATCTCTGCAGCCTGCTCGAATCATCATTTAGGGTGAGAATTTGCTACTCATATCCAATCTTAGTATATTAAGCTTAGTTTGCATGTTTTGTTTGTTTGCTAGGTTATCTGCTTTGATCGGTTTGCTATCCCTTATAACAGTGGTGGGTAACCTGTGGCCCATGGGCCGCATGCAGCCTGTCAGGGTAATCTGCTGGTGGGCCGAGAAACAGTTTGTTTACTTTGACCGTCCACAGGCACAGCCACCCGCAGTTCCCAGTGGCCATGGTTTGCCGTTCCCGGAGCTGCGAGCGGCTGTGCCTACGGACGGTCAATGTAAACAAACTGTCTCGTGGCCTGCCAGTGGATTACCCTGACGGGCTGCAGGTTGCCCACTACTGCCTTATAATCACTTAAAATCTCTCTTTTGTAGTTAATAAATTTTATTTTTTCTTTGTTTAAAACCAGTGTGTGGGAGTCATAACTTGGGGCAGAAAGCTGTTACATATCCCTTCTCCACATTGAGGGAGGGGGCGAATTTCATGAGCTTACTCTATACAGATCTCTGGGCAGCACAAGACGGTATAATTTTGGGTTTACACTCCAGAGGGGTGTGTGCACTGGAGAAGCTGGGCAGTTCCTTAGATGAAGCCTCCCCATGCAGAGTTGATCAGTGTCTGTATGTTCTGCAACTGGATGTGTCCCCCTAACTGTATGTGTGCTGGAGCCTGGAGAGGGCTTGGCAGGCTGGTGGGTCTGGGGGGCTCAGTGGTACCCCAGTTTCAGGTGGCACCCTGGGGGGAACACGTCACAGTAGTCTCCTTTGTAAATCATTGAGAGCTACTGATGAAAAGCGCTAGATAAGAGCTAGGTTATTATTATGTTTCTCTCTAATAGATTAGGGATTTTACAATGATTCAAGCCAATGACTCCAGCTTCTTGATAGATGGGGAAAGTGTGAGGTTAAGGCTCAGGTCCTGCAAACACCTATGCATGTGCTTAACTTTAAGCATCTGAGTAAGCGCACGTGTCCTCAAGTATAATACAGTAGTATGTAAGTAGTCCCCTTGCCCAGGCACTGCCTGTAGAACTCTGGCTAGTCATTCAAGGTACATGTACACTACATCTGGGAGGCGCGATTCCCAACTTGGGTAGATATACATGTGCTAACTTTGATCGAGCTAGCACAGGGCATCGTAGGTAAGCTGCCTGAGGACAATCCCTTCTGAGATCCTAGGCATGCACTCAGGCGGTCAGCCTGAGGTACAGCCTGTCCTGCTGTGGCCACACCACTATTTTTAGCACACTGACTCGATCAAAGCTAGCACATGTACATCTAGCAGAGCTGGGAATCACACCACTCATCTGCAGTGTAGATGCACCCTAAGGCTCTCATCATTCGAACACTTAGACATATGCTTCACTTTAAGTATGTGAATGAGCCTATTGGCTTCAATGGATTAGCACATGCAGGATTGAGGCCTTAGTGGCTTGCTCAACATTACACAGAGCAATGCCTAAATCAAGGGTCAGCAACCTTTCAGAAGTGGTGTGCTGAGTCTTCATTTATTCTCTCTAACTTAAGGTTTCGCGTGCCAGTAATACATTTTAACATTTTTAGAAGGTCTCTTTCTATAAGTCTATAATATTTAACTAAACTGTTGTTGTATGTAAAGTAAATAAGATTTTTAAAATGTGTAAGAAGCTTCATTTAAAATGAAATTAAAATGCAGAGCCCCCTGGACCAGTGGCCTGGGCAGTGTGAGTGCTACTGAAAATCAGCTCGCGTGTCGGCACACGTGCCATAGGTTGCCTACCCCTGGTCTAAATCCTCTCTGCATTGGTAACTCTGCGCTGTCATGTGGGGTGGAATATGAGCTGCTTTGTACTGACTGAGTCTTCTATGGTGGTAATAAGCTGCATCCCCTGGGGAACTGGGAGGTCTCCCCGTTTGTCAAAGCTCTAGATGAGGTTCCAACTAGATCCTCTGAGTACCAGTGTACAGAGAACATCCATCCCAAACTCCTTCCACAACACGCATGTCATATTATCAACCATGCCATGGGTCTCAACCTCCCTCACTGAGATAGGAGAGAAGTTTGATGCAGAAGTCACAGGGAGGATTCCCCCTGAATCTTAGTTCTTGCAGCTTCTGGGGGCAGGTGTGAAGAAGGCTGCTGAGATGTTTCAGCCAGCCCTGCAGTCGTGGATCACGCTGGGAGGAGCTGAGCCTTATCTATCAGGGAGCCAGCGAGGTGACTTACAGCTGTGTGACACCCTGTGTGCCCTTGTGCTGACTTACCTCTTGGGCTTGTTGACTCCACTTCAGAGTAGGGTGGGGGTAACTCTGGCGGGCCAGGATAGGGGGGTGGCCAATATGGAAGTGTGTTGAGCAAACCTGCCCAGGGAGAACAGAAACCTTTCAGCATCTCAGGTGTGAACAGAGATCCCACCTTAGCTGAAGCCTCCGCCCAGTACCCTCTTTCAGTTTAGTGCTGACATGCTACTTGCTCTGGGTTATAACATGTGAGTGCCTGAGCTGAACAGTCCAAATGGAACTCTTTCTCTCTCACATTCTTCGTTTTCTATTCCTTACTGATTTCCGGGCTTCAGAGGAGTTCCTCGGTGAAGATCTAGCTTATCCTGGGAAATAGCTCTGAAGGAAAAACTGAGCTACCCCAAGGCAGTTTCACCAAATGACTATGGAATAGAAGTTCCTCTACTGGTGCTGGGGCTCCAATAATGCACTTTATTACTGCTCTGAGGTCCCAATCCTGAGAGGTGCTGAGGTACTGTAAGTCTCTGAGTGCCTTCAACTCCCACAGACTCCAATGGGAATTGAGTGCTCAGCATCTTGCAGGTCTAGGCCCTAATTATGAGTAATTGATTACAACAGATATGTAACAGATTTAGTCATGTTGCTTAATGTGCTACTGGAAGGTGCTCAGATACTACAGTGATGAGTGCACTGTGAGAATCTACACAGAACAGAACAGAACAGAACATGGGCCAACTTTAACAAATATTAAGGGCGGACTGCTGATCACTGAGAGCAATGGGAGTGGCAAAAGCACATCCTAGGGAGGAATTTAACCCTACGATAGCTCAGGATTCATGTCAGGAAAGCATGGGCCCACAGGGCTGGGTGGGGAAGCCCAGGTGTGAATGAAGAAGGTAATTGAGCTCTTCTCTCATCTGAGAAAGGCTGAGCCCTTCACACTACCAACAATACTGCTAGTGGAGCACAGTGTGGGGTAACCCAGGAATGAAAGAACCTGGATATAGAAGGCCTGATCCAAAGCCTTTGAAGTCAATGGAAAGATTTTGACTGACTTCTATGAGCACTGGATGGGCCCATGGTTCTCTCCTCTCTCAGGCTCCAGCTGGAAGTTTGGAGGATATTTCACGTAACCAGGGTGAAAACGTTTCAATGCTTACGGGGAACCCGAGGTGCTGATGGGTGGGCGTAGGTGTAGATGGAGGCTGTTGGATAGTCCTGAAGATTAGCAGCCTCTCTTAATGTATCTGTATATTTAGCAAGCAGAAAGAAAATCATGTTAGTAAAAATAAATCCTTTGCATGTGTCTGGTACCTTTAAACTGTGAGTCTCACAGTGCTTTGCAAGTACAAATCTAGCTGTTGGAAAGATTTACAAGGCACTAATCCCCATGATACCACAGCACTGAATCTCCTCAAGCCCTGGGAGCAGGAGTTGGACTGAGCCAGGATGCTGTACCAACACTCCTCTGTGGCTCTAATCGATTCTGCAGGATTTAAATGTTCACTGAAAAGGTAATTACATTTTCTAGACATTGTAATTTTGAAGACAACCTTTTGAACAGAAGCCAGTTCAGTGGTGCCTCCCTGAGTCTGCATGCAGCCTGAAACAATACCTTTGCCCCCCGGCATCTTACTAGGTTATTGACTCTGAAGCTCAATGATAACAGTGATGGCAACATTGTTAACTATTGCACCACTGAGCCTGTGTGCAGAAACATCCAGCTACTTTAGAACTGGTGGCAGAGTGTGGAGGACTGATTTTCCTACGAATTAAACTAAGGTACAGAGAGGGGAAGTCAGTGATAGGGCAGACACTAGAACCCAAGGAGTCCAGATTCTAACCAGTCAAAAATTAAACACTTTTAATTAAACATACTGACAAACTACATCGGTGAATTCTATCTGCACCAAAGCAGCGTCAGGTAGGAGAATATGAGGTGGAAAACGCAGGGCATAGATCAGTGCTAGGAAGAGGATCCTTGTCTTAAGGACCGGTGCTAAAGCTCTGGAAAAAAATCCTTGCCATGAGAGGGTTCATGGGAGATGACTGACCCTGACTTATGCCTCAGGCTAATAGATCCTTCGGGGTCAGAAAGTTTTTCCTGGTAACATAAATTTTACCTGACTTAATGTCATCATATCCCATAAGTACTAGCTATACTCAACTGTTTGCTCTAGTTCTGGCCCCTACTTTATCATGCTAACTAGTTCCTCCTCTGTGGGTGTTTACACCCACTCAGATATCTGGGGATAGAGATCCATATATTTGATGCTTAGCCAAGGGTTTCAACAACTGTTAGACAAATTCCTAATTGTCTCATCTGCAGTATGATCATTATTATGTAAAAAGCAACAGAGGGTCCTGTGGCACCTTTGAGACTAACAGAAGTACTGGGAGCATAAGCTTTCGTGGGTAAGAACCTCACTTCTTATGCTCCCAGTACTTCTGTTAGTCTCAAAGGTGCCACAGGACCCTCTGTTGCTTTTTACAGATTCAGACTAACACGGCTACCCCTCTGATACTTGACATTATTATGTAGTAATTACTGTCATGTAAATTACAGAATCCTAAATATCAAAAACCAGATCCACAAAGGTATTTAGGCGCTTCACTTCCCTTGAAATTCAGTGTTGTGAGCATGTTGGTCCCAGGATATTAGAGAGACAAGATGAGTGAGGTATGGTAGAACCTCAGAGTTACGAACACCTCAGGAATGGAGGTTATTTGTAACTCTGAACAAACATTATGGTTGTTCTTTCAAAAGTTTACAACTGAACATTGATTTAATACAGCTTTTAAACTTTACTATGCAGAAGAAAAATGCTGCTTTCCCTTTATTTTATTTTTTTTTAGTAGTTTACATTTAACACTATACAATATTTACATACTTTTTGGGTTTTTTTGGTCTCTGCTGCTGCCTATTGCATGCTGTACTTCTGGTTCCAAATGAGGTGTGTGGTTGCCAGGTCAGTTTGTAACTCTGGTGTTCGTAACTCTGAGGTTCTACTGTAATATCTTTTGTTGGACCAACTTCTGCTGATGAAAGAAACAAGCTTTCAAGCTCACACAAAGCTCTGGGCTCTGTGAAGAAGAGAAGGAGCTCTGCATAAGTCAAAAGCTTGTCTCTTTCACTAACAGAAATTGGTCCAACAAAAGGTTTAGGCGCCTAACTCCCCTTGTCTCTCTATTGAAATCGGTGGAAGCTAGGAGCCTAAATGTGTGTGTGGATCTGGGCCCAACTTCATGCAGGAGCTTGGGAAATCCAGCCAACATGCCAGTCAACCCTTGGAGTGTTAATTATCTTGACAAATATTCTATACAACCTCTGTGAAACTTCTTCACCTGCCTAACCAGTCCTACCATCTGCATCCATGGAAAGATAATGGGTTTCTGAAACTTGCATCATACCATAAACAAAACCAAAGATGGAGCATAAGATATAGATAAGGGCTGGGAAATGTCAAGATGCCTAAGGGAGTTAGGCACCTTTCGGATATTTAGACTAGGAAATATGGTAAAAGGGTGCTGCGTCAGTTCAGAACAGGAACATCACCCGTAACAAGTCTGACCACAAGGTGTGAGAAGCAAAACAGATGGAATCTTTAGAGCTCCATACTGCAAAGGTCAGAAAAAAATTGTAGCAGCACTTCCCCCTGTCCTTTGCAAGAGGCAAAAGAAACTGAGTACAGGAGATGAAGAAAGGGACCCTGAGTGTGCATGGCAGTTGGGTTCAGGCACTGGGTTGAATCAGTATCCCTGAGCACAGTGAGTGAGTGCAGATGCTTGGCATATGGCTTGTTGGTTCCACAGTTGTCTCTCTTCCTGGCTGTTTCACATGTGGGATGGGATCTGTGGTTGCGAAGGAAGAGGAGAGGGTTATTCAATTGGGATGATAATGCCCTACTTTAATGGTGCTGGGAGAATAAAGTCATCAATATATGTGAGACATTCAGGCCCAGATCCTCAAAGGTCTTAAGATACCTAACTCCCATGGATTTTCTAAAGACCCTTAGTAGTGTCGAGAGTCAGACTCCACAGCTGTTATAATGGTAACTAGGGTGACCAGATAGAAAGTGTGAAAAATCAGGACAAGAGATGTGGGGGTGGGGGTGGGGGGGGAATAGGCACCTACATAAGAAAAAGTCCCAAATATTGGGACTGTCCCTATAAAATCGGGACATCTGGTCACCCTAATGGTAACGTACCCATTAACACAACTCCTTGTGTTTGTGTAGGGCGTAAGAGACACAAGGCATGTACCAGCCCACACTGGTCAATCATTTGGCTTTTATATTGCATCCTTTTGTCTGTACTGCCCTTATAGGGCCCAGTTGTGGTGACCTTGTTCTGATTTAGAAGCACACTGGTCCACAAGTAATTTTATTAGCTTCAATAAGACTGCTCTTGCAGTATAATGAAAGGACAGGTATCAGAATCTGGCATGTACATTGTAAGCCCTTTGGAGCTAGGACCTTGCCTTCCTACATGTGTATAAAACAACCATCAGACTTTTGGCATTATGCAGAACCATCAAGAGCCTCACCTGCTGAAGACAGGGTTTTGATCATATTCAGGCAATCAGTGGCTTCATACAGGAAGATGAATTTGAAGGTGAGAACACCTTGACTGGAAGCTAAGTGGATGAGATTATAGTGAGCCCATGAGTCAAGTCACCTGATGTTCCTTCACCAGAGACATTTCCTCTTTCTCCAGTTTGCTCTTTTGTCCCTGTTTCCTCATCTCTTTGAACCATGTTATTTTTCCTACTCCCATGATCTTCCCTCCCACTGTTCCATGGTTGCTTTCCCTGTCATTATGCTGACATGAATACAACACAGAAACTACACCTGTGAGTCAATCCTTGGACTGCCCTCAAATGAACCTGATGAAAGGGAGTGGTCACTCTTATATCATGTCTGTTCTTTTAGTGCTACACACAATGATCCTTTGCAGTTCTCCTCTCAGGATCTCAAAGCACTTTACAATCACCCAAGTTTCTCAACCAGCCTGTGGAATAGGTATCATTACCCCTCTGGGAGGAGCTGAGGCAAAGAAGTGACCAACATGACACAGTAAGTAGCTGGTAGAGTTGGGGATAGAACACAGGAGTCCTAAGTCCAATCACCTGCTGTAAGTAGTTACTTGGGCCCAGATCCTCAATGGTATTTAGGCACCTAACTCCCATAGAAACCAATAGGAGTTGGGCATCTAAATAACTCTGAGGAACTGATAATGTGCGGACAACCTGTGACACACAGTTAGCCGATAAATTCATCTGGGGTAAATATCCTCTGAAGATATTTTTTGAGGGATGCATGCGTGTGTGAGTAATGTATTTTCTATCCTAACTGAAAATGGTGGCTGGTTAATCCAAGATGTATGGACATCCTGGGTTTTATCCCAGCCCTCGCTTCCTGTTTCTAGGGGATGGTCCTCCATTGCCCTCAGCTGAGTGCAAGGGAGTTGGGTTCAGACCCCCTGGAAATCAGATGTAATCGTGGTTTTATATTTGTGATGAATAATCCATGCCCTGTTTAAAGTGATCATCAAAATGATAGCAGGATATGGCCTTCTCCTGGTCAATACACCTGCATGTAGACCTCTCTACAGCCTCACAGGCAATATCTGCTAATATCCATCTGCTTCTCCTCATTCAGAGTAAGTGTGACAGGAGACACAATGACGTGTGGCAGCAGTAGGGTCCTGGGCATGGTAAGGTACGACACATACTAATAGTCCCTTTGATATATTGCTGTCTGGAGCTCAGCTCCTCCCCTATCATACAGTCCCCCAGGAGCTGAAGTGGAAAGCGGATGGTCGTGGAGCCCTTGTCCTTGTGCTGGAATATCATCTAGGGAAACAGAGACAAGAACTGGTTCAGGAAGAGTATTGCTTTGAGCTTTGTTGCTTATTTGGGGAGTGTGATCAGAAAGGGAAGGGAGAGACCTAGGGAGGTGCCAATGCTAGAGATGATAAGCAAGATGCAGCTAAGCAGCTGACACCAATGCAAACCTGTAACCCCACTGCTCTACTAACTATACTGGATCCCTCTGCAAGTTCTAGAGCTTCATGCTAATCTTCATGGCAATCAGTGGGCTATGCCTACCTTCTGAGGGATCACCTCTTTCCCTGTCAACAGTAGTTACTACAACAGCTTTGCTCACCGGCAAACATGGAATTGTCCATGAAACAAGCAAGAGTCATGGAAGTGTGAAATGGAAATTTCTCAGCTGCTGGCCCACTACTGCTGAATCCCTTCCCTGAGAGACTACAAGATCCATCAATCTCACCATTGCCAGGAAGAAATGGAAAATCCATCACTTTGCAACAGCATGTGCATGATGATACCCGCCCTCCGGAAATAATATATTCTAAGACATGTGGGCAGAAAGGAGAGCAACATTAGAGTGTACCAGTATGTTGTGTTTTGCCTTGACAAAGAACAACCATACGTTCAGTAGAAATGACTTTAACATTAAAGGAAACCAACAAAACAAGAAGGAAAAAGGGAAAGTCTTCAGGAGAGAGGAGAGTGTGTATGTCTCTTCTGTAACAGGCTGCATCTGAAATTAATGCAAAATGGCAGCTGCCTCCAGAGAACTTAAAGGTACAGCACACAGAAAGCAAAATCATAGCTGTTGTTTCATGTACTGCATGCTGGGTAATAACATGAGAGTTGTTTTATTAGGCCTGATTTATGCTACTGGGTTTTACCAGTATAGTTAAACCAGCAAAACCCTCCTAGTATAGATGCAATTATAGAAGTACTTATACCAGGATAGTGTATGCTGTTTCCCCGAACTAGCAAAATCTATACCGGTATAACTACTTTTGTATTGCTATAATTGTCTAAACTAGGGCTCTTACCTGTGTAGTTATGTTAGCAAAAACTATCATATCCCTAAATAACATGCTGGGAAAATTTTCTTATGTAAACTAAACTGGTTCTTTATTAAAGCAGTAATTTACATAGCTGCTTCAACTGCAAATTAACAGTCTATCCACATGAACACAATCCATGCTCCTTCCTTCAGCTGCCATGCAGTTTGCTAAAGCAGTGATGTAGCATTGTGACACCCCATATTAATTTCCTGTTTGTGTGGCTGGCTTATGGCTTTTGTAGTTTTGCCAGGTGTTCAGACACAACATCGTTTGGCATGATGTAAATAATTAGATTTAGAGTCTGGATCCTTACTTTGTACTGTGTGAGATACAGAATCCCTTTCTTTGCCCCTTGGAGCTCCTCAGGGAAGTTTGGCATCTCGTCCAGCACTAGCAGTATGTTACTGAAATGAGCTAGAACCCTGGAAACAAAACCCTCAGATATATTACCCCACAAAGAAACACACACAACAGCGAAATCAGAGGGAAAACACAGAAATGGTATGCTTAGGCCTTTCCCTTTGCACATCACCTTTATGAATGTTTGCTGAGAAGGGGCCCGATCCCATGAGATGCTGAGTAACTCCCACAAGGTGTTCAGTGCCTCCCAAGTCCCACTGATGTTGAAGCTCACTCAGTACCTCATAGGATCAGGTCCAAAGAGAGGAAGAGAGGATTGCTGCACTGGTTCCCTGTGGTCTATGCTGTGTGTACACTAGAGAATGGAACTCTTGGTAAATGAAGCAATTAAGGTTGTCAAACGATTAAAAAATTAATTGTGATTAATTATGTGATTAAATAAATGGTATTCTATTATTGTTAAATATTTTTGGATGTTTTCCACATTTTCAACTATATTGATTTTAATTAAAACACAGAATACAAAGTGTATATTGCTGACTTTATATTTATTTGATTACAAATATCTGCACTGTAAAAAAAACAAAAGAAATAGTATTTTTCAATTAATCTAATACAAGTACTGTAGTGCAATCTCTTTATCATCAAAGCTGAACTTCTAAATGTAGAATTCTGTACAAAAAACCCTGCATTCAAAAATAAAACAATCAGTCCTACTTCTTGTTCAGCCAATTGCTCAGACAAACAAGTTTGTTTACATTTGCAGAAGATAATGCTACCTGCTTCTTGTTTACAATGTCACCTGAAAGTGAGAACAGGTGTTTGCATGGCACTGTTGTAGCTGGTGTCGCAAAATATTTACATGCCAGATGTGCTAAAGATTCATACATCCCTTCATGCTTCAACCACCATTCCAGAGGACATGGGTCCACGCTGATGACGGTTTCTGCTCGATAATGATCCAAATCAGTGTGGACTGACGCATGTTCATTTTCATCATCTGAGTCAGATGCCACCAGCAGAAAGTTGATTTTCTTTTTTGGTTTCTTTTTCGTGTTCTGTGGTTTCCACATCAGAGTGTTGCTCTTTCAAGACTTCTGAAAGCATTCTCCACACCTCATCCCTCTCAGATTTTGGAAGGCACTTCAGATTCTTAAATCTTGGGTCAAGTGCTGTCGCTATCTTTAGAAATTTCACATTGGTATCTTCTTTGCATTTTGTCAAATTTGCAGTGAAAGTGTTCTTAAAACGAACAATGTGCTGGGTCATCATCTGAGACTGCTATAACATGAAATATATGGCAGAATGTGGGTAAAACAGAGCAGGAGACATACTGTTCTCCCCCAGGGAGTTCAGCCACAAATGTAATTAACGCATTATTATTTTAACGAGCATGTCCTCTGGAATGATGGCTGAAGCATGAAGAGGCATATGAATCTTTCGTGCATCTGGCATGCAAATATCTTGTGACTCCAGCTACAACAATGCCATGAGAACACTTGTTCTCACTTTCATGTGACATTGTAATTAAGAAGTGGGCAGCATTATCTCCTGTAAATGTAAACAAACTTGTTTCTCTTAGCTATTGGCTGAACAAGCAGTAAGACTGAGTGGACTTGTAGGCTCCAAAGTTTTACAATGTTTTGTTTTTGAGTGCACTTACGTAACAAAAAAATTACATTTGTGAGTTGCACTTTCATGATAAAGAGATTGCACTACAGTACTTGTATGAGGGGAATTGAAAAATACTATTTCTTTTGTTATTTTTACTGTGCAAATATTTGTAATCAATAATATAAAGTGAGCTCTATATACTTTGTATTCTGTGTTATAATTGAAATAGATATATTTGAAAATGTAGAAAAGCATCCAAATTTCAATTGGTATTCTATTGTTTAACAGTGCAATTAATTTTTTTGAGTTAATTGTGTAAGTTAAATGAGATTAAACAACAGGCCTAGAAGCAATGGGATAGTGCCAGTATAAGTGCTGACAGTGCAGTGCATCCATGCTAGTTATGCTATTTCATATTAGAACTACGCACTCATGATAAACACGTGAGAAGTATATATACAAGCACTAGCTAGAAGATCTGATCCCACAAACCCTCCTTGTGCAGAACTCCCATTAGGGTCAACAGAATTTCCACACAGGATTGGGCCCAACATTTCTAGGCTTGTTTAATGCTATTGTTTTATGATATAAGTACATACTACCTATATCTTTTCTGATTATTTTCTTTATATTGTTTGCAAAGCTCTCTGGGATCCCATGGGAGGAAGTTTTGCTAGATAATTGACTATATCAGCATAATTATTACAATGAAAAAAGGATCAATCAATTTAAGCAGCTTTTATTTTAAAATATTAACAATTCTATTCAGCATCTGATCCTCACACAACGTATTAATCTGATCTGTCATGCTCTATATGTTTCAGAGAGGGAATTAATTTCCAGAACATAGATGGTTGCCTAAAGCAGATATTTAAGTCATATAAGTGGAAATTTTGACAATTGGACCCCCCTATGGGTTTGTTGCTAAAGCTGCACACACCAACCCCACTTACAACAAAATTTGCTGGTTTTACCTTTCCTCAGAGTTGTTGGTTGTCCTGGAGAATTGGTACCTGGTCACTTCCATTCCCTATCACTGAAAGGTGCTCTGCCTCTTGACTACAGTGTCACACGCTCCCTAGGAGTGCTGGAGGCAGTGAAATGTCTGTGTGAGTGACCAGCAGCTCTTTGTGATGGCAATAGATGAGGTAACACAACAAAGGCGTTTAATACAGCAGGAGCCTTGAAATATACAAGGGCTTTGGTCTCCATAGGCCACAATCTCTCCTGGTGAGATTAGTGCAGACATAAGCACATTGAGCCCCCAAAGTATGTGCAGGGACTCACACACATTACTGGGAGTCCCACCTCAGACCCCTTAGCAACACACTGCAAACAAATAAGGTTCTACCGAGATTTGAACTCAGATTGCTGGATTCAAAGTCCAGAGTGCTAACCATTACACCATAGAAACACACAGTGAATCTGATTTTCATTTAATGGATTCTGTTTTTGTAATTAATTCTTTAAGCTGTATAGTATTTCATGAAGAAAGAGAAATGATAATGGACAATTCCAATGCTACTCAGAGGGGGAGATACAAAATAAATAGCCTTCTAGAGCAGTGGTTTTCATCCTATTTTTCATTTGCAGACCCCTAAAATTGTTTTCAAATGGTGGTACAGACCCCTTTGGCAATCTCCACGGACCATAGGTTTTGAAAACCACTGTTCTAAAGGGTGTTTATAGAGCCTTTAGTTTCTTCTGGGGGTGAGGTTCAGCCATTTACAAGTAGAGGAGAATACGCGGTACCCAGTGTATTATACATATCTAATCTGTAGTCTCAGTACCCTATTACATTGTCAGTTCCGTTAGGGTACAAACTATGGCTGCGCTAGAAATGCTGCAGCAGCGCTGCAGGGTAGAGATACTCACTCACTCCAGTGCCAGAAGGGGTTTGCCTATCACTGTATTGTAGTTAATCCACCTGTCCCAGAGTTGGTAGCTAGGTTGACTGAAGAATTCTTCTGTTGACCTAGCACTGTTCACCCTGAAGTTCCCGCCGCGGGTTGCTAGGAGGCAAGCAAACGCCCAGGCCTTGAGGTAGTTTGTCCCTTCGTCTCTGCCGTACCGGCCAAATCCCTTCCGGTGATTGACTTTCGCTTCTTCCCCATTCCCGGAAGTGATCCCGCCCCTGTGTTGTCATGGAGAAGGGACGCTGCCTGCGGCCGAGGCTGGGAGAGACCCAGGTAGGTACGCGGCGGGGCTTCGGTGGGAGAGGAGTGCAAGAGGCCACCGGGCAGGTGTAGTGTATTAAACTGCTCCGCGTAGGAATGTGCTATAGATAGCAGTTACTGATACAGAATGGATTGTAAGAAACTGCTATTGTAGTAAACTGCTACCGGATGTAGCAAATGCCTACAGGTAGCAGTTTGTTGCACTGTAATATATGTGAAATTGCTACTGTAGAAATGTGCTATCTGTAGCAGTTATTTATACATGTAGATTGTAAGAAACAGCTTTTGTAAAAAGATGCTACTTCCCTCATAAGTAATGTTTTCTAGATCTTAATTTTTTTTCTCTTCTCTGGGCTCTCTTCAATTTGTCCAGATCTTTCCTGAAATGTGGTGCCCAGAACTGGACACAATACTCCAGTTGAGGCCTAAATCAGGGAGGAGTAGAGTGGACATCCCAGAGTGATGTTCTGGTTTTTTTTGCAACACTGTTCACTCGTTCAGCTTGTGGTCTCCTAGGACCCCTAGATCCCTTTCCACAGTACTCATATTCAGCTTGTGGTCCACTATGACCCCCAGAACCCTTTCCGCAGTACTCCTTCCTAGGAAGTCATTTCCCATTTTGTATGTATGCAGCTTGTTATCATTCACAAACTTTATAATTGTACTCTATGCCATTATCTCAATCATTGATTAAGATTTTGAATAGAAACATATCCAGAACTGATCCCTGGAGAACCCCACTTGTTATACCCTTTCAGCTTGACTCAGTCCTTTCAGCCTGTGAATCATTGATAACTACTGTCGGAACTGTTTTCCAACTAGTTTTGCACCAATCTTATTTTAGCTCCATCTAGGTTGCATTTCCATAGTTTGTTTATGAGAAGGTCATGGGAGACAGTATCAAAAGCCTTACTAAAGGCAAGATAGACCATGTCAAGCACTGCCTCTCATCCACAAGGCTTGTTACACTGTTAAAGAAAGCTATCAGTTTGGTTTTACGTGTGAGACTGCTTGAATTAGCTACATCAGTGGTTCTCAAAGCTGGTCCACTGCTTGTTCAGGGAAAGCCCCTGGCGAGCCGGGCCGGTTTGTTTACCTGCCATGTCCACAGGTTCGGCCGAACATGGCTCCCACTGGCCGCAGTTCGCCGCTCCAGGCCAATGGGGGCTGCGGGAAGCGGCGCGGGCCGACGGATGTGCTGGCCGCCCTTCCTGCAGCCCCCATTGGCCTGGAGCAGCGAACCGCAGCCAGTGGGAGCTGCGATCGGCCGAACCTGCAGATGTGGCAGGTAAACAAACCAGCCCAGCCTGCAGCGGCTTTCCCTGAACAAGCGGCGGACCAACTTTGAGAACCACTGAGCTATATTAGATGGCCTTTTTTAGCATAGTTGGACTTGTCGCTGCTGCAGGTAGCCCCGTTCTACAGATAGCATTTTCACACACACACGTGTAAGAAATTGCAATCTCTAGGGATGTGCTACCCAGCATACACTGCCAAACCAAAGCTTCCCAAAATACAGTGGGATATCTATTCATGGTGCACCTCACTCTCAATCTATATAAGTGCTTCTGGTGAGTACTCTGATTCAGGGCCAGCTCCAGCTTTTTTGCCGCCCCAAGCGGCAAAGTGAAAAAAAAAAAAAAAAAGCAGATCGGCGGCACTTCGGTGGAAGCTCAAGCGCACCGCTTCATTCTTCGGTGGCAGTTCGGCGGCGAGTTCTTCACTCCCTCTCTTCCTCTTCGGCAGACGAGAGGGACTGAGGGACCCGCCTCCGAAGACCTGGACGTGCCGCCCCTTTCCACCGGTGCCTGGAGCCGGCCCTGCCCTGACTGCTGAGACAAGGAATCCAGGAGGCATGCACACAAGTGACATAGTAACCACTATGGTTAGGTCCTGTGGTGGTGTTGCTGGTGTAGATTTGTGGGCAGAGTTGGCATCGAGGTTTGTTGCATGGGTTGGTTCCTGAGTTAGAGTTGTTATGGTGCGGTGCGTGGTTGCTGGTGAGAATATGCTTCAGGTTGGCGGGTTGTCTGTGGGCGAGGACTGGCCTGCCTCCCAAGGTCTGTGAAAGTGAGGGATCATTGTCCAGGATGGGTTATAGATCACTGATGATGTGTTGGAGAGGTTTAAGCTGAGGACTGTAGGTGATGGCCAGTGGAGTTCTGTTGGTTTCTCTTTTGGGCCTGTCTTGTAACAGGAGGCTTCTGGGTACACGTCTGGCTCTGTTGATTTGTTTCTTTCTTTATTTCCTTGTGTGGGTATCGTAGTTTTGAGAATGCTTGGTGAAGATCTTGTAGGTGTTGGTCTCTGTCTGAGGGGTTGGAGCAGATGCGATTGTACCTCAGTGCTTGGCTGTAGACAATGGATTGTGTGGTGTGACCGGGGTGGAAGCTGGAGGCATGAAGGTAGGCGTAGCGGTCGGTGGGTTTTCGGTATAGGGTGGTGTTAATGTGGCCATCGCTTATTTGTATGGTGGTGTCTAGGAAGTGGACCTCCCGTGTAGACTGGTCCAGGCTGAGGTTGATGGTGGGGTGGAAACCAACAGAACTCCATTGGCCATCATCTACAGTCCTCAGCTTAAAGAGCTCAGACAAGAGTACCAATAAACCAGATCAGCTACAACATCACCGGCTCATTCACCTGCACGTCCACCAATGTTATATATGCCATCATATGCCAGCAATGCCCCTCTGCTATGTACATTGGCCAAACTGGACAATCACTACTCAAGAGGATAAATGGACACAAGTCAGATATCAGGAATGGCAATATACAAAAACCTGTAGGAGAACACTTCAACCTCCCTGGCCACACAATAGCAGATGTAAAGGTAGCCATCTTACAGCAAAAAAACTTCAGAACCAGACTCCAAAGAGAAACTGCTGAGCTCCAGTTCATTTGCAAATTT